TGGTGTGTGTGTGTGTGTGTGTGTGTGTGTGTGTACCTGTGGATGCATTTGTGTGGGGTATGTGAGTATGTCTGTGTCTGTTTGTGTATGTACCTGTGGATGTGTTTGTGTGGGGTGTGTGCATAGTATACATGGCATGCATGTGGAAGTCAGAGGGGAACCTGGGGTGCTGATCCTCACCATCTACCTTATTTGAGACAGGGTCTCTTTCTTGTTTGTTACTCCATATGTCAGGCTAGTGGGCCCATGAGTTTCCAGGGATTCTCCTTTCTCTGCCTCTCATCTCTCTATAAAGCATGGGAATTATGTACATGAGCTACTGTGCCCAGCCTCGGGCGGGTTCTTGGGATCTGAACTAATATCACGGTGCTTGTATGGCTAATGGGTCTTCTTCCCAGCTCCCCTTTCACACTCTCTAATGCAGCGATGCTCCTTGGCTTTCCATGATAATCTCAAAGTGGAAGGTGGGTAGGGAGCTGGGCTGAGGTCTGTGTGTCAACCAGCCTAGTGTCTGGGGTCTGTGCCTAAGGTCCTAGGGCTCACTCTGACTCCCATGTTCCAACGCAGGGCAAACTGAGCCTTGATCTTAGGGATTTATCTGTGGGAGATGGTAGGAACTGGAATTGGGGGAGAGGGCAGTGGGACAAGGCAGCATCTCCCATGTCTTTAGACCCCATGAAAACTTCAGCTTGAGGCTGTGGATGGGAAGGCTCAGCGCTCTTCTACACAGCTCTGCCTGAGGGCTCCCCAGAAGACCTTCAGAGAGGGCATCCTGGAAATGAAGCTTCAAGGCCAAGACTTATCTACTTCTGCCCCACCGCAAGACCCTTTGGCCACACTGGGTCCCTGAACACAGTGTCTATTCCCACCTGTATGTTGCAGCATGGACTGATCCATCTGTCCCCCTCCCCCGCTGCCTTTTGCCTTTCCTTCAAGGCACAACTCCAATCTTGCCTCCCTGGAAAGACCCTTTGGGATTTCGTCCAGTTTTCTTTTCCCCTAATTTATCTTATAATTCACAACTGACATGTCTTTTAGACCTTTTCAGTTCCCGCCCTGTTCCCTGAAGGCCCAGTCTCCGCAAGCAGGTAGGAACTGGTCGTGGTGCCATGACCAGTGCCTGCTGGGTTGAGATGCTGGCTGTAGGGTATGCAGGAAGCCACAGGACCAGAGGCAGAGCCATGGCTGGGTATGTATCCAGTGACACTCTCAGGCCTACATAACTCAGGCCACAGCACTTGGAGGTGCCTGGTATTCTACCTGGTGTTTGCCACCCAGCCAGTTGGCACAGGTGGGTGGGTAGCAAGTATAAAGACCGCCCTTCTTAGTGCCTCGAGAATGAACCATCTTCCCCAATTCTGCACAGGAATTGTCTGCCCTCCTGGTTCCATGCTTGTCCTGTCCCCAGTGTGACATCTGGCGTCAAGCTGGTAATCTTCTCTGCCCTTGAGATACTAGTCTAATCAAAGGGACAAAGAACACCTTGGAGAGTAATACAATCGTTTCAGAGTCCAGAGTTTCTTGGCACAACTCAAGTGAATGTGATAGCCTGTATGGGACAAGTGTACACATGTTCTCACTGTTGTCTTTTTCTGACATTATCAGCTGACTTTTGTTCATTGCCTTGATTTTTTTCTGGAATATAACTACATTGATTCCAAAGTTTTGCTTTGGGCCCCAAGTACTAGGGCACTGTGTATTCCAGTTCATAAGCCTGATCAATTGTCTGTCCTTATGATGTCCAGGAGGTGAACCTTGGATGCCATTAGCTCCTGAAGTGCCTCATCTCAGACCATATTTTCACCCAAGAGTGCTTGGGAGAGGAACCAGCCATTCTGAGCAGGCAGCAGAGCCTTTCATAGCTTAGGTTTGGCTTGGTGCCTGGAGTTCATGCCCTGTGTTCCCATGTCCAGCTTACTCCCCACAATGACAGTGGCTCACACTACCACTTTCCCTGGGTGTCTGAATGTGCCAGGCAAGCAAGCGATCTGGTCCACCTGGAGCACAACCTTCTGCCCAGACCTCACTCTGTGAAGTAGCCCATCTGAAAAGCCAGCCAGAGTGACTTCATTTTGTCCTTCCTGGGAACATCTCTAGGGTATTCTTGCCTTCAGTACTCATACACCCTAGAGTAGTTAGAGAAATATTGTTGACGGCCTTTGGTAATTGGGGAAAGCACGTTTTGCGGGGGAGGGGGGGGCGACACATGCCTGTCTTGATGTCAGTCCCCTGGTGGAAGGTCATTATGGTTAGATTTCAGCTGCAGAGTTGAGACACTTCACCCTACAGTTTTGCAAAAGGCTTTCAAAAATCCTCCCATGGTATGTTTCTAATTTAAGATCGAAAAAATATTTCTATTGTGCCACATAGAGTAACCTAAAACCAAATAAAAGCCCTGAATTAGGGTTGGGCAGAATGGTTTGAATTAAGTTCAGGTAGAGGCAAGGACACGGTATCTATCAGCTGGGGCTGCCAGCTCACGGCCCAAAAGGCAGGCTCTAACTGGGAGAACAGACTTGCTGAGTCTGGAGAGGAGCCATCTCTTTTGTGGATTTCTAGGCTCTTGGCCATGGCCTACAGGACCCTGATACTATTGGCACCTGGCCCCAGCCCTGGAAGGACCTAACTCTTGCTGTTCATGTCATTTTGGTTACTGTGTAGTTTTCTCATCGAAGCTAAGTTTATTTGATTTGGTGGTTATTTATCTATTCCTTTTTCTAGGGGACTTGCCAGCCATTGCCCAGTTTCTGTGATACTTGTCTTTGAGAAGTGGATGTCGGCTGGCCTCTGTCCATATAGTGGCCCAGTGAACCCTTGGTGGACTGTGGTATGACTGACTTCTCTTGGTCTGAGACTATAAAGCCATATATGTCTAGAGAATGGGTAGGGAATTTATAGCCTAGAGTGAACCAGCAAGTGAGGGGAACATGTTTATTGTCATTAATAACACTATATGGAGCATCTCTGCATCTCTATCAAGATATATATTATATATATACATACATATATATATATATATAATCTGCCTCTGTTCTTGCCTCACATGCTCTAGCTGCCCCATTTGTGACACATGACTCAATACTCTCTTACCATTCTCCTGTAAACTGATTGGATGATAAAGATCATCTGATTCCAGAAGACCCACGTTATGGACCAAATTAAACTAACTGGATCTTCTCTTGAGATTTGAACTAACAAATAGAGGAGTTGTGGTGGTGAATTGGGCTGGCAGGGTTCTTGTAGATAGCAGCCCAAGTCATATGTAAAATGATGGCGTCCTGACCCTCACCAGAGAGGGATGGGGCAGAGTTTCCATTGTGTGAAGAGGGACTTTCAAGATATCCTTGCCCCTGTAAGGGTAACGCCTACCCAGATTTCTAACAAATGGCCTTCATGTTTGTTCCGAGGCCATGACCTTCCCAGGCATTCTTCATGGACAGACTCCGAAATGAATGATTTACTTCTCACAGTAACCCTGTCGTAAAGTAAACAGGTTCAGAAGTAAGAAACTGTAAAAATGGGAACAGCTGAGCTCAAATCCAGAGAGAGCCTGTCTGTTTCATTGGAAATGTGCATCTGAATTAGAGATAGTCTGCTGGATGGAAAAGCCTGCAGCAGAGCCCCAGGAGCAGGCAAGGGCATGGCAGTTATGCAGAGGAGATGGAGGGCGTGGCCGAGTCAGCTAGCAGGTGAGAACTGAGAGGCGGTAAGGCCTTCAGACCCCACCATCCTGTCTGTTCTATCTTTCTGATGAGACACAGCCACACCTCCATCCTGGAGTCTTTAGTGTCCTTATGGGGATCAATGGGAAACCAGAGCACAGGACAGTCCCTGGTTCCCACTAGATGGCACTGTTGCAGGTCCTTTCATCCAAGAGAAGCCTTGCAGTGTGTGTGTGTGTGTGTGTGTGTGTGTGTGTGTGTGTGTGTGTGTTGGACAGCCCATAGTTTGTTTTTTCTCTTTCTTTGGAAATTCTCCTTAGAATAAAAATTGCTGCCCCTGAGACGGCTTCAAAGGCTTTTATGGGCTCTCATTGAATGCCAGGGGGTTACAGAGTAACCAGGATAGGTCCAGCTCTCCTGAAGGTCCAGTCATTGCAGGAGCCTGGCAAGTCCTCTCAAAATCAAGCCCCAGAGGCTACAGAGCCCCAACTTCCAGAGGCTGTGTGGGCAACACTGGGGAATTTTGAGTGAAGCATGTTTCTGGCCTGATGTCTCTGGCACAGACACATTTTCGCGGTGTCGACTCCTGTAGGCTCTCATGGCTTCGGGAGTGCATGTTTGAGGGGTCTGCTGAGCTTGTGCCTGCTCAGGAGGAGAGTGCGTTTGTCTTCTTGATGTCTGCCAGGGCTTGAGTCAAGAATGGCACCCATGATGCATCCCTTTTTTCAATGGGCACTTATCAGTGAGGATGGAACCTTGTTTTAAGGACTCTCACTATTTAGTACCAACTTGGAAATTCTCTAACTCATTTATTGCTTTTTGTAGGTAGGGATCGAGGCATACAGTTACCCAACTGCATGTACCTTGCCTCTCCAATTCGCCCAGTTCTGTGTTTGGACAAGGTCCCAATAACACCTGACATTTGTCTCATGTGTTGGGATCCTTCTGTGGTGTGGCTGCCAAGAGAAAGCTTCCGGTTCAATCTCTCCTTTGTGTCTGTTATGTACCAGGAAAATTTTGGTGAGGGAGATGGGAAAGCGAAATCTTACAGTCTAATGAGAGAAGACAGGAAGAAAAGAGTACTGTGTATGTGGACATGGCAAGGGTAGGCATGTAGACAAGTGGTAGAACACTTGTTTAGCGTGCACAGACCCCGGTCTGGAAGTGGATGCAAGGTAGCAAATACACAAGGCTAAGGACAGTGACTTCTGTCAAGCAGGCCTAGCAGGAGTAGGAAGGTTCCAGATTAGATAAGTAAACTGTTTCGATGGTATGAGAGCCTTCCCAGGCCAATGCCTCAGGCCGGGGTTTGTGTGGACCATGTTCCATACCTGACTCCATGAATACACACTGTAGGAGCCGGCAGATTGCTGCAGAGGAGTGAATTTTCAGGAATTAGAGTCTGTAGTTTCCAAGCCCAGCTCCATCCACAGTTCAGTGGTTCATATGGTGTCCCTTGCCTCATTTTTTCATACCTAGTACATTGGGTTAATTAGAATCAAAATAGATATGGTTGATAGTCTGTGCAGAATGAAGAGTTGAATACAAGCAAGGGTGACCCTGTCCATAGTGTGAATAGACAATATCCATGGGCCCTTCTTACTGGTCCTTGCTGCATTACCATGAGGGCATGAATGTGGGTGTGCTCTATAGGCAAGAATATTACAAATATTGTTCTATAGGAGTAGTCAGGAGCTGTGTTAGACCCCTCATCTTGTTTCATTCTTCCAGTAAGAATGAAATGGAATTCTTCCTACAAGAGATACAACTATTCTTATTTTTTCCAGAAGAAAAAGCTATGGCTCAGAGAGATCAAGGAGATTTGGTGGGACTTTGGATTGGCAAGCACGGACTTATGGTATTGGCATGGCATGAGGCCCCTTTTTCTTCCCACAGAGGTTTACAGCTGGGGAGATTGCTGGTGTTGGAATGACTTCATTCCAGAATTCTCTCCAGCCCTTAGCATCCGTAGCTGTGACTCTAGTGAGTTCATGGTGAACACTTACCTGTGGACTGTGGTCACACCCTGGGGGACTGGCTGAGTTCCTGCAGGCAAAAAGAGAGTTGTGGAAGAGTGGGGAATAGTTTTCATCATGGAGCCTGTGCAGAATGGAGAGGCCTTGCCACTTGGTTGCCTAATTCAGTAAACTTCCTCTGGTTCTCCGAGTTCATGAAGACAGGGTGAGGCAAGCAGGTGATGACTTTGACAAAAGCATCAGCTGAGGTCTCATGGGGAGGAGACCAGCATAGCTCATCAGCCATCTGCTCCAGGGAGGGTCCAGACCCCTGAGACCAACTCATGAGGGGCATTGCAGTGGCGCGGACACCCACAGAACACAGAAAGGAGTCATCTAGCACATGCAGAGGTTCAGGGAAGGCCATTGGAGAGGATGATACTGAGCAGGGCTCAGGTTCAGCTATGCATGCCTGCATCCTTGACAAAGCCCCTGAAGCAAGATGTAATATGGATGGATCAAAGCCCTGTAAGTATTTAATGTGGTGGGAATGTCAAGTTGTAGAGGAGAAGCAGGCGGAAGCAGGCTCTTAGGCTTGTGGAGTACAGACCAGGCTGCGGTAAGACAGGTCTAGACTCCATCCTCTGGGCAGCTTGACGGTTTTGAGAGCTGACAGTCTAGAGTATGGGGTGATGTTGGAGACTGGTGTCTATGAGACGTGGAGGAGAAGGACTGTGACCATGGAGGGAAAAGACGAGGGACTGAGCATGCATGCGGCATGCTAATGTATGGGAGGGTCAAAGGTGACAGAAGCTGACGTCTATAGCTAGGGGCCAGTGACTCAATGGCCCTGCTTCAAGGAACAACCAATATCTTCTTCAAGAATATTGGGCTCCCTTCCCTAGGGTTCCCTTCTTTGCTCCCCATAAGCCCTTATAATGACATCTCATAAGCTTGAACTTGGCTGGGATTGCTGGGTGCCATCAATCAGCCCCAAGGTCTGCCTGCATCTAGGAGCCTGGTCCAGGGATGGATGGGTAAGGACATGGTGTTGGGCAAACTATTCTGCACCTCCTTACCTGTGCCAGCACACCAGAGTTAGATCCTGGCTCCCCTGACCAGAGATACAGAACACATCCTGTTCCCTGTTTCTGGCACCTCAAGGACTGTTGCATTCTCAAGAAGGGGCTGACAAGGCTATTCTCAGAGATCTTTTAAAAAACTGCTCTCTGAGGGGGCTGGGGAGGGAGCTTATTGGTTAAAAGCTCTTGGTGTTCTTACAGAGGACCCAGGTTTAGTTTCCAACACTCACATGACAGCTCACAACCATCAGTACCTCTAGTCCCAGTGGATCTGATACCCTCCTCTGGTCTCCATGGACACTACATGCATGTGGTACACATACATGGGCAAAACATTTACACACATAAAAGAAAGAAAGAAATCTAAGAAGAAAATGAAAACTTTGCTAACTAGTATCGAGAGAGTCCCATGGTTGGAAGATGTGTGTACTCTTCCATGGATATATTCAGCTGGGTTCTTATGGGAAGGAGTTCACCCCACAAGCTTGGCATGTGCAGACTCTCAGAGTCACCAGCTCTCAGGCAGGATGCACCGGGACATCCACAGTAGGCATCCACTGATCCGAATGGGCTGGCTGGAGTTAGGAAAGAAAGAAGTGGGCATTGTGGACAAGAGGGCCGATGAGACCTCAGGCAGCAGGGAGAGCGTGTGTTAATGCTCACTGGAAGGGAAAGGGAGGGTAGTATTGGGATGGGGAGAGTAAGAGAAAGCAAGAGGAGCAGAGGGAAGCCTGGCCGTGGATGGAGTGCATACACAGTCTCATCCATGTTCCCAGCGTATCATCTCCTCACCCCTTAGCCTTGGCTTCCACTTGCCTAGAAACTTGTCGCCAACCCTCTGTGTCCACCCACAGGAAGCGGTGCATGATCTTTCCTTGATGATCTTCAAAGCATCATGCACACGGCTTTCACCACTGTAGTCGGGTGGGACTGTGCTTATATTTTCTTATTTGTCACATCCCCTTAGAGTCATCTTGAGGGAAGCAACTTAGGAGGGGGTTCTGTGAACTAAACCTATCAAACAGGAGACCAAGGAAGAGGGAAACCAGAGTCCTGTTCTGAATTGCAGCCTTTTGTTTCTCTTGAGACCCCGGGAGACATGCCACTGGAGGTTAATAGACTCCAAACTCACGCTGAGGTTGGAGGGCATCAGTATCAAATAAGCTTCCATACAGCCCACTGACAATGGGACTGTGTTCCTCTCCGGTATTTGCACTTGCACCTCTATCCCCACAGAGCTCTGTTATATAACAGGGAGCATGAAAAAAAAAAAAAAAAAAAAAAAAAAAAAAAAAAAGGCACTCCAGTGCAGAAACTGAGGTTCAGGGACGTGATGGTGCCTTGGGCCCCACAGCTGTCACGGTTGGAGTAGGGTTTAGTTGATCCCCTCTCAAAGTCCCCTGTCTTCCCAACACTCCACTCTGGTTATTCTCTAAGTTTGGTCTGTGGGGCTAAGCCCTCTGCAGAAAGGTCCAGCCAGCCTGAGGAGCATGTGCTATTTATCTCCTGCCCAGCATTCTGTCAGGGTCCCTGGCACAAGAAACTGACAACTTATGTAAACTCTTAGGGCGTGAGCCCTGACGTCAGGGCCCAGCTCCTCCTCTGTTAGTGTTTCCTAATTGGTATTATCCTAGCAGTTGCTTTAGAAATAGACTCTGATGAAAAAACCTTTAATTACATAATGAATTATTCTCCGAACAGGTCATCGTGTTATGGTTCAGCCATGTGTGGGGCAGGGAGCCGGCTGAAGGGGAGTGTTTGGGATGAGCTGACATGCTTCCCCCACAGCGTGCCTCTGCATTTTTTTGTGGTGACTACAAGATGGATTTTGGGACTTGAGTGGCCTGCAGGGATAACACATGAATAAGTGGGCCACAGGGAAACAGCTGCGCCATCTTGCTTCGAGTGGACCAGAGAAAGCGCAGTGCATAAGGAGCCTTGTTTTGAAATGTGTTTTCAAAATAAAGGGTTTCATAATAACCGCGATTGCAGAAACAACTGCTGTTGGGAATAACTTCCTGGAAAGCAGAGGCTCCATGACAGTTGGGATTTAAAAGGCCAGGGTAACTTACAAAACAGGTTTAACCTAATCAAAGCTTAGCATTGCTACACACACAAGCATGCCTGCACATCTCCCTCAGGCTGAGGCTTCATTTTTAGCCTCTGATGCTCTGCCCAGAAACTTGAGGCCTTTGTGTCAAGGTCTGGGGCAACATATGGGGTTGCGGTAGATTCCGAGTTCTCCTCCACTCTCAAGTCTGTGGTCTAAGCAGAGTGGTCAGAGGCGGCTCCTTTTGCATCACCACCTTTGGCCACAACCCATTGCACTAGGTATTGAGACTCACCAAGGCAGTGTCTTATAGGCTGGTGGGTGCTTCGCTGCAGGGTGCTGAGACTTGAGATTTGGTATGCAATCAAATCCTTTGGTTGGTGTGGTACCTAAGGGAGATAGATGCCTGCAGGTAGTCAGGGACAAGGCAGAGGTCAAGAGAGTGTTCAAAGCCACAAACCAGCAGAGTGGCAGGGACTTAGCTAATAGCAAGTATAGGTGGATGGAAAAGCCTCTGAACATGTTCACCATCTTACCCGCCAATGGATTGTCCCAGCCAAGAGTCCACTCATACTCTTGTCCATGGAGATGGTTCTGCTGGGCATCACAGACAAATGAGGAGCGGATTCTGCACTGGGAATCACCCCTGTTGGCCTGATCTCCTTCCCACCCTATATTTGGGCTTTTAGGTCTGGGATGGTGGCGTCAGAAGGGAGCACAGGGGGATGGAGGGACTCTGCTGAGGCTGGGGCTCTTGGCAGCCCCAGGAGACCAGGTTTCCAAAGCAGAATTTCCCACAGAGGTGGAAGGACACGGTTCTGCTTTGGATTTGGAAAGGGTCTTGCTGCATTTTTCCAATGTTGGTTCAACGAAACTCAAAACTGTTTTTCCTAACTCTTTCTTCCCTTCATTTCTAAGTCACTCTGTATGTGCAGAGGAAGGCAGGCCATGTGCTTTTGATTCCTTTACCCCTGAAATCATCACCCTTTCTCCCTTGAGAAGTCCTGTGTCTCAGAAACCTTCGGAGACACTTAAGCCCTTTCACCCCCTCTTTAAACCAGGACCCTGCATGCTGCTGAGAGCAAATGAATGCGGAGGGTTTCAATCAAGACGAAAAGCATTCCTCCAGACTGTTACCAGCGCAGTCAAGAGCAGCCTGAGCAGCAGCAGCCGCTTTCACAAGAAGCAAGGCCTTGGAGAAATCAGCGCCCGTGTGAAGACAGCACAGGCTGCAGGCAGAGCACTGGTGTCAAGTTGTAAAAAATTGTCAAAGGTTGACCTGAGTTCTGTGCCCGGTGACTGCGTACACTGACCTTGGTCTCCTCAGCCCCAGGGGTGGAGGTCGGTGTCTGGCCCACTAGCCTCACATTCTGCACAGAGCAAAGGCCACAGGGACCTCAGTGTCAACTTGTGTCTTGAGACAACAATTCCTTTTGGGCGATTTGATAGGAAGGCAGTGGGGCAGAGGTGCTGACAGGACTGTAAAGAGGGGGAGCTCTGTACACCACTCCATAATAGCCATGCCGGGCCAGTGCTGTGACAAGTGGGAGGAGAGGATCTTGGGAGAAAAAGGGCTGTGCTCCCTGTGGAGTACAGAGAGGTTCAGAGCCCGGGATACCTGAGCTCAAGTTCCAAGTCTGCCATTCATCAGCTGTGGGAGCTCCGGCTGGTTGGTTGGTTTGGCTTCTGTGTCTGCTCATCACCATCTGTGAGGCAGGGACAGCAATGAGGTCCCAACATTGTGATTCCTGATGATGTGTGTGTGTGTGTCTGCCTCGATTTAACCTGGATGGCACCCAGCAAACATTCTTCAAATGTTTCCTGGTATCAAGAATGCTGTGGCTATGAATGAAGCAACACGATGGCCCTCGTTGGCTTTAAAATTTCAGAGTTAGTGAAGTGGATTGGGGTACATCGGGAACATGATTAAGCCACAAGCTGACAATTGTTGAAGTTGAATGAGGAGGACATAAGGGTTTGCTGCACAATTAATCATTCCTGGTTTTCTTTTGAAACTCTTTATAAGAAAAAGAAACATTTCCCACAATAAAGGTTATGTCTGTATATGTATGCATAATAAATAGGAATGTAGATGTGTATGACAGAGTAGATTTATAGCAGAGCTTCATTGCATATGGTGTATAGGATGCAGGGCATATGCTGATTCTCTCTTTCTCGCTCATTTTTTGGAGACAAGGTCTTTTTATGTCTCTGTATGTCTCCGGGACAGTCCTGGCTGTCCCAGAACTTGCTATGTAGACCAGTCTGGCCTTAAACTCACAGAAATCTGCCTGCCTCTACCTCCCAAGTACTGAGATTAAAGGTGTGTGCCCAACACACCAGGCTACATATGCTGATTTTAAATGATGTATAGATGAGCTGTGTTTAAAATGTAGCTCTAGCAAATGATACAGGCTATGAGAGTACAAAAATCTCCTTTGTAAAACAAAGGTGAGTAGAAAAACTTGAATGGATTTGAGGAGGGGACTTAGAGGGCAGTGGGAGTGGGAGGAATATGTGGCTGTGGCAGATTGGTTGGGGGGAAAACAGACTTGTTGCAGCCTTGGAAACACCACTAAGGGACCAATGAGAAAGGGGTTCTGTTTGTCCCTTGTAGTGTACACCATGTCAGCCTTATGGAGTCATTTATCTAGACAGTTCAGCATAAAAGGTCATAGCAGCAGAAGGCAGCATTGGGACTGTGAGCTTTGAAGACATGCAAACCTCGATTCAACTTTTAACCCTGCCACATAATGGCCAGGGGACATCTGGCCAGTGACTCACCTGCTCTGCCTCATTTCCTCACCTGCCAGTCTGGGATGTCACCACACAGCTTATCATGTCCTTGTGAAAAGTAGTTGAGAATGCCCGTAGTGTATCTGGCACAGTGCTTGGTATACAGCAGGTGCCTATCAAAGGTAATTCACTTGAAAAAGAGATAGAACAAGAAGGTGGGGGCACAAAGTCTGGGTGTGAGGCTCATAGGTCCTTGATTCTCCCATTAGGATGGTTTTACATACCCTTTAGGCATGATTCTGTTAGTATATTTTCTGTTTGCTTTGGTGTTTTACTGGTTGTAGCTTTGGAGACAAGGATGCTAGGCAGGTAAAGACATAGTGTGTTGTTGGTATTTTACTCTTTTTTGGGGGGCCCACCACCCAGATCCCAAATAAATCACACATAGAGGCTTATTCTTAATTATGAATGCTCAGCCTTAGCTTGGCTTAGTTTCTAGCCAGCTTTTCTTATCTTATCCTGTCTACCTTTTGCCTCTGGGCTTTTCCAGTTCTCTTACTTCTGTAAATCTTACTCTTACTCCATGGCTTGCTGTGTAGCTGGGTGGCTGGCTCCTGGAGTCCTCCTCCTTCTCTGGCTGCTAGCTCTTTTTGAACTCCTCCATCTCTCCTCTTTCCCTTCTCCCAGATTTCTCCTCCAATATGTTATCTCTGGCTGCCAGCCTCGACTATCCTTTCTCCTGCCTCACTATTGGCCATTCAGCTCTTTATTAGACCATCAGGTGTTTTAGACAGGCACAGTAACACAGCTTCACAGAGTTAAACAAATGCAACATAAGCAAAAGTAACACACCTTAAAATAATATTCTAGTACGTGTGTGTGTTCATGTGTGTGAGCACAGGTGTACACACGCTGTGGTGTATGGAGGTCAAAGGACATTTTGCGTGCTGATCCTTACCTTCCACACTGCTTCAGACAGACTCTCTTGCTGCTTCTACACATTCCAGGCTAAGGGGCCCCTGAGCTTCTGGAGATTTTCCCCTTCTCCCTCTTATCTCATTACAGGAACTCAGGGATTAAACATGCTATTGCATCCAGTTTCACATGGTTTCTGGAGGTCCAACTGAGGTACCACCCCAGCTCTGTTTTTTTTTTTTTGTTGTTGTTGTTGTTTGTTTGAGACAGGTTTTTTTTTTTTATGTGTATAGGTATCTGCCTACATGTATGTCTGTGTACCATGTGTGTGCCTGGTGTCCACAGAGGCCAGAAGAGGATATCAGATACACTGGATTGTGAGCTGCCATGTGGGTGCTGGGAACAGAGCCTGGGTCCTGTGGAAGAGCAGCCAGTGTTCCCCTAACTGCTGAGTCATCTTTCCTGCTCCATGAACATTGTCTTGCTGTGTAGCCCAGGTTGGCCTTGAATTTATAGCAATTTTTCTTGCCTCAACCTCCTAAGTACTAAGACTGCTGGTGTGCTCCAGCACACTAATCTTTTATGAGGCCATCTTGTAGGCATAGCTCCTGGTGGAGAGGATGCTGACCTGAGCATGCTGGAGTCTGCTTGAGCTGTGGTTCTCGCTAGAGTTTGGAGACCATTAGATATTTGCACTTAAAAGTGCAAGCTCTGCACATCTTCAGAGGAAAAGTAATGACAGGCAGTCTTTGAACATTTGCAAATTGTATTTTTAGGTCAAAAGGACCTTCCTTTTTTATGTATTAGGGTGTAGGAATGGAAAACATATGCCTTAGTTTCTGTCACTAGTGCCCGGAATCCCAATGATAGTGGTTGAGTTTCACAGTAGTCTGTTAACAGATTTGCGAATAATTTTCTACTAATCTAGCAGTTCTTGCATCTACTTTTAGGCATCTGGCATTTTGAGAGAAAAAAAATCGCCCATAGTTAGACATAGTAATGTTCGTTGATTGAATTAGTCTAATATGAATGGGATCATCTCCTAAAGAGGAAAAAAATGTGGTGAATCTGGCAACTACATTGGGGACACTCAGCAATTGTAAGCACTATCAGATAGACAGCAGGTGTGCCAGCTTGCATGTTGTCCATTTTCAAGAGTTCCCCCAAGGCTGTGCACTTATTCAGGGCATGCTGTCATTACTCCAAGCTCTTGGGTGGTTTCCCCTAAGTGACTGCCTTCAGACCCTACTACATGTCCACTTCAGTGCCATTAATTAAGGAAGTTCCTTTTCTTAATGAAAGATTTGAATTTTGGGAATCCCAGATCTCAGATCAATGAAGACTATGTAGGTCACTGAACCAGCAATTAATTGCTACAATATTCCTACATAAGAAGCAACCACAGAACCTTAGGGGCATACACTAACATCATATAGCTCATGAATCTTCAGGGATTCAGTAGCTCTGGGCTGAGTTTGGCTGATCTTGGGTAAGGTTGTTTCTGTATCTATTGACTGACCTTGGCCAAGTTTACTCAGATGTCTAGGGTGTTGCTAGCCTAAGATAGGATATCTAAGGGCCTGACTCTGACTTGCCTTCATCTCTAGGAGATGATGTACAAAGATGAACAAGGTCCTTTGTGCAAGTTCATTTCCAATGTGTATAGTGTTTCTGCTACTATGCTGTTGGCCCAAAATTCCATGCGGTAACCAACACAGGAAAGAATGAGTTGTAGCTTTATC